CAATCAGTTGTTTCTTTTGTATAAAATTCTTATTAAGAAGGTATCATAGGGAATTTGGACATTCAAAAGAACTAGAACTTCATTTTGATTAATAATTGGGACTTCTTCAGCAACTTAATCTCTAAAGTGTTCAGCGTCTATTATTATATATGTATATATGTATCTTTTTTTTTGAGATGTATCTAGGTCAAAGATAAGCATATCCCGTAACAAGATTTATAACTTTAGGTTGTACGAATCGATGCTGTTGCATCTTCGTTAATAATTCTTTTCATATGTATTATTTAATATCGTGAAAATGAAATTTGGTTGCGTACCGTAAATGAAAGTTAAGCTTAGAGGTAAACGAATGTTGATCGTGCAAGAAAATGCAAGAATTTGTTCTCTCTTTTATATATATAATAAATAAGATAATAAATAAGGGTCGGGGTTTGTATGTATTATGTATTGTCTTACAGGAGCGCGAAATGATTCGTTTGAAATGTAAAAGTCTAATAATAGAATGTGGTCATGTTACAGTGTCACCACTTTCAAGAACATATGCTCGTAACGTTTATGTATTTACGTATATATTTACTTATGTATGTATACGCTCGAATTGTATACAATCATTATTATCTCTTGGACAAAAATAAAACGAATTTTCGTAATATCTTGAAAAATTGTCGACAAAAATTTCTTTGCAATGTCGTAGAAATTCGAAGATCGAGAGTTTTTTTCGATTATTTTGTTTAAATTTTTTCTCTTTTTTTGTTGTTGTTGTTGTTGTTGTGGTAATTTCTAGAACGATTGCATAATGGTAAAAAAAATCTGTGATTATAATTGGCAAGGAAAATTCAACGAGATCTCGTTGTCAATGGTGCGATGTAAACGTAACTGCCGTTTCTCTCGAAATAGATGTCCACTCGGCCAATAGATTTTCTTAGGGGACAAACTCGTCGACAAATTCTTCGACGACGTTTTACACCAGCAGCATTACGTTGCAATAGTAACGGCGACCTTACTCCAAGTAGTAAAACCACGCTTTTATCAGCCATGCGCATCGGCAATTATTGTTGCAAGAATTTTGCGCGCGACAATAAAACGCGTTATGCCGAATTACCCCTAAATAATAATAATAATAATAATAAACATTATAAAGGAGAGTCTTTGCCAAGGGAAGCATTTATTACTTTTGTCATCCTATATATAAGTTCTACATAAGTTATAAAATTAATTGCAATTAATTTGTAATTTTAGTAGAATTCTAATGGGGGTGGGTTGCCCTCCGAAGTAATTCATCTGCTTTCTTTTATGATTGCGCATCGTAAGCCGAGGCAAACATAATAGGCCGGTGTCTTGTCCTGTCCTCGCACTCATAACATCTATTTCCAGAACGGACCGACGTCTAACTTTAGATCGGGTGTTCCATATACTCGAGCCATTCGCCCACTCGGTTCCACTCGTTTGAGAGAAATGCGATAAACGAACAAATAAGTGTTTCTCATTCTTCGAAGTAAGAAGGGCCCCTCTCGTGTCTTTAACACAGTGGTCGTCCTCCTTCTCTTCTTATCAACCCCTTCGAAAGAATAGAAATCATTTTCTTACCTATCTCATAATACATTTTTAATTCTTGTGGGTCCTTCTATTTTCTAAAACCGAAATTTATCAATCTCATTCTATCACAAATCGTCATATCTTTGGACAAATTACGGACAATTTTATGCACAAGAAAACACAAATATAATAATGATATTTAAATATATATTTATTAGTTTGGATCCGAAAAGCAATTGCATAAAATAACGATGGTACACTTTTGAGAATGTTAATCGTCTAAAGTATCGTTCGATCTCACGCTTTTGCTGCACACATTATTATTATGAAATAAGAGCTTGGAAAGTGTTACAATCTTGCAGGGACACCGATTTCTTTCGCGTGTCAGACTAAAAGCGACGAATCCTAAAAATATTTCGAGCATAATCCGTGAAACTCCGGTAATGTGGTTCATTCGGTCGGCAACGAAAATTCAATCTGAAACTCCTTCGAACGATTATTTCTCTTTCCCTACGCACCCCTCCCCCCTCCCACCACCACCCCTACCCACCCACCTGCAACACGTATTATTACTAACAAGTAATAAGTTCGACGCACGTTTTACTAATATCTAAGACGTTTAAAATAGACAAATAATCATTTTATTTATAATTTGTGAAAGAGATTGTGATTAAAATCATTTTGACGAGAAAAGCGATTAGTCACGAATAATACAGAAAGAAAAAAAATTTATATACAATATTGAATTATTTTCTTCTCGTTTAGTTTTGTTTGTTTGCAAATTTGCGAGCTTACTTCTGGGATTTTTCTTTCTGGACGTTTTCCGTTTCGCACGTTTCTACGAACGAATGAACGAACGATTTACCTACGTGACTCTCTCTCTCTCTCTCACTCTCTTTGCTTATTTCTCTTGAACGTTTAATATTTTCGTTTGTAAATTCGTTTTAATATTACTATAGGTGGTTAAATCGCGTTTATCCTAGTTGGCAAGATCATGCGAAATGGAAAAAAAAGTACCGAGAACTCTGAATTATCTTGTCTTACAACGAACATACGAGAAAATGCAGACAGATATATATATATATCTCTTTTAAAACTTGAATTGTTTACTCTTACCGAGAAAAGAAGAAATTATTTTCAAAGTTATATCGACATTGATTCTTGCTATATAAAACAACATCACTATATCTATTCGGCTTTATTTTAGATTTTTTTTTTCCAAGAAAATACATGAAATACATCAAAGTATTAAAAATATATTAAATATAATCAAAGTATTAAAAATACTTTGATATATATATATATGTTATAGTGTGAAAGAGGATGATTAATTATTTGTTCTTTTGTTTTGTTATATATATATACGCTAAAGAAGTATAACTTCCAGCCGTGTTTTTTCTTTTTTTTTTCTTTTTGTACGTTCAAGCGTGGTTGTACACCACGCTCTATTTTTACGATTAACGACGTTTAGTTAACCTTGCGACTTTTGCAATCGGACCACCGGTCAAACGTTTGAAATGGCAAAGGAATGCCTTAGACTCTTCCTCCTTCTCTTTGCTAGTTCGATCGCGAAATTCTAAGTCAAGGTGATTTATTCGGTGATTGTTATACGCGTCATCGAAATATCTAAAAAAAACGCACGCAGGCACGATTATGATAAAAATGAATTTTTAATTAGATAATAAGAGAAAATAATTTGTCTACGAACGCGAATCATAGGTTTTGAGTAATTCTCTCGAATAACACCGGTTCTGATAGTCATTCGAATAGCACGAGTATTCGAGTTTGTTAGGTATAGATTCTAATACGTAAAGATAGATTCGCCGGTGAGGGGTGATACGTGTATATTTAGAAAAGTGTTCGGCTTGCCAGAACCAGAGAGATCTCGATGCCGCCGCCGCCGTACGTGATTTTCTTCCAACGACGAGGATTTTCTTTATCGACAAGCATTGCAAAATTCGCCAATCTAATAAACGCTTTTCAAAATATTCAATATTATTATTTCAATAGAATATCTAATCCATCCTATTGAGAAATAAATAAATGGGAATAATCTTTTCCTACTGTGTCACCGATTCTGTTAGTAAATCAAAAATCAAATCGAGAAGACACCTTGGCTTCATTCGAATGGACAAAATAAAAAGATCGAAAAGAAAAGAAAAAGAAAAAGAAATGAACGAGGTAACGCTTTCCTTCCAACGAAATACTTATTTTCGCTTGATACGTATTGGCCAAGACCCACTTATTCCCTCCCTCCCACCCTGTACCGTTCTACTTCTCCGTTAACCCTCACCCATCCCTGCTACCTTTCTACCTTTCTTCGCTAATCTAATTATTCGTCGAGGAATATTTTCGCAATAAATTCAATTATTCGATTCGATTCGATTAATTATATTATCGTATTGCAAACAAAAGATATATTTTAAACGATGGATTATTCATCGTCGTTCCCTTTTAATCTCAATGACTCGTACCAAATTGAATTTTCTCATACTCCATTTTTAACTACTTATAATTAACATTTCTAATATTAAATGACTGCGAGAAAACTATTATTTACGATAGGTTTATATTTTAATTATAACTCGGTTAGACAGATATACGAGAAAAATAATATCGATCATTAGATCGGCACGAAAGATAAATCTATTTTTGGCTAGTGAGAAAATTGAACGGGTGCTATTTTAGTTTCTAATTTAACAGACCGCACGTCATTCTAACATACTTTTCATATGACTCCTATGATCATTGTTGTATTCTACGTTACGTAACGATAGTTTTCTATACGATGTCTACGATATATGCAATTATTATAATATATGATACTTTTCGCAGTTACTTTATCGCGAATAAGAATTGTCTTTGCGTAGGCTAAGATTCTAAACGTATTTTAAAACGCGCGAAAGTGCACGTTGCTGACATTTCAATGTCGAAAACGTATAACGGAAATGCACTTACGATTGACTCATCGAATTCTTTTTTTATGGTGACATAGAACAACTACATTGGTTCTTGCAAAATTAAGAAAGAACAATAAGTAAGAAGAATACAAAATTGGATAATTATTATCGTAAATTATTAATTGTTCCAACGTTTCAAGTGCAACGTTATAGAAACTTTTCGCCACGATGAATGAGGGAGGGAGAGGAATAATAGAAAAGAGGGGGGGGGGAGAGAAAAAGTAGAGATCTGAAAATGAAAATATATGAGCGTAAAGAAAGAGGAGGAGGGAGGGAGGGAGGGAGGGTGCATCGTAAGGTCGAGTTGTTGTCTGGTGGTCGATTGAATGTGTGTAGGTGCCCTCGAACTGTTGAATCTTTATAACCACCGCCTTCTTAACGAGGAGTCGTGTGGGTGGGTGGTTTGGTTGGTTGGTTGGTGGGTGGGTAACGGAGGTGGAAACTCGGAGGGGTGTTCTGGGTGGTGGAGGTGGTAGACCAGCGGAGGCGAATTCGAGTTCGAATCGCAGCTGCGAGATTTCGTTGGTTTAGTTGGCGCGCGGGGCCCCGGCGATTGGGACGGGTTTCAAAAAGAGGGAGAATTATACCGAGAGTCGGCGCTACTTAGAATAAAAGAAAAAAAAAAAAAGAAAACGAAAAAGAAGGAGAAGAAGGAGAAGAAGAGACGAATAAGTGACGAAGAAGAGACGAAGAAGAGACGAAGAAGAAGAATAAGAAGAGGGATACACGACTTATAAACGTTCGGAATTAATCTTAGAAATAAGGGAAAAAAAAATAAAAAGGGTGGGGGGGTTAAAAGTATCGGAAAGAAAAAATATAGTGGCCCGATCACGACGCAGGGACAACTACGACCAAGACGACAAGACGAGCGATATCATATTATTTCGAACGATCCATTACTTTTTGTTCTTCTCCTTCTATCAGTTCGGCAAAGTATTTTCAATTTTTGATATTACGCGCGAGTGTGAATCGTCGTCACGAATATAAGAAGAGCAAGAAGTATTCTTTTCTACTTTTGGATACGCGGGAGTAAGTCTCTCTCTCTCTCTCTCTCTTTCTCTTTCTCTCTCTTTCTATTTCTATTTTTCTCCGTTTGTCTACCACAAGTAAGTTTGAAGATTTCACTGACACCAGGAAACAATAATGTTAAGCGTGCGCGACCGATTTAAGGGAGCCGATCCTTTCAAGTGTGTTTCGGAGTGTACCTCGAAGTGTTTTCTTTATTTATTTATTTCTTTATCTTTTCCCTTTTCTCTATCTCTTTCTTTCTCTCTCTCTCTCTCTCTCTTTATCTATCTATCTATCTTGATTTCTTTCTATTTCTTCGTCCCTCTTCGTGTAAACTAGTGCCTAGGATTATATCATACGTGATCATCATGTGAAAGAACGCGTCGCCTCTTATTCATCATCATCCTTCTTATTATTATTATTCTCCTTCTTCATATTTATATTAAATGTGAAAAACTTCAGGGGGGTGGTTATTTTATTCGGAGAGAAAAAATAAAGAATAAAAAAAGAAGAAGCAGTGATAATAGTCAATGATATATCCGACGTTCATTAGGGAATAATCTATTCCTAGGGGTGAATGGGATATAAATGGGAGGGTGGGGTTGGGGGTGTGGGTAAAAAAAAAATAGAAAAGATTTAATCTTAATTGTTTCTCTCGCGTCCAAAAATATAATTCTTAATGAGACGCTGAATTATAAAGATTAAGTTGCTGAAAAAGTCCCAATAAAGGGACGAAACGTTCAACTTAGTTAAATTAAGTTCTAGTTCTTTTTACTGTCTAAGTTCCTTGTGATATCTTCTCATTAAGAATAGAAAAAATTATTTGACGGTAGGGGTTGAGAACGTAAGGAAACGCGGAAATTTCTAATGAAGGAGTTTATTGATAAGTAGTACGCGGCTTTCTTCTTGACAAGCAAGCAAGCAAGCAAGCTTTACTTTGCTTAACAACGAATGCCCGTGTTAGTGACTAATCGCCACGAGTCCACGATGCGTCGCGACGCCTCGCGTCGCGTCTTGCTGTCGCGAACTATTAGTAGACTACTATCTAGGTATCTGGGCTCGGTGTCCGCGTATTTTTAGGATAACGTAACGCGAGGAGAAACGGTTCGTCGTACCGTCCCATCCTTTTTACCAAAGACTTTCATCATCCTCTTCAGAATAGTTAACCGTACGTTCTTATTCTCTTTTATCACTATCCTTCACCCTCCTCCCCCCCTCCCGCCATCGCCCCTTTCTCCTTTCCCGAATTTTTCTTATTTTTATTCTTATTCTTTTCGAAATTTTCTACAATTTTATGTAGAAAATTTGTTTAAGAAAACCAAGCCCCAACAGCCAGTAGAAGAAAATTATTGAAGCGTGGGTGTGTTAACTCTATCATTTTCTTATTTCACTATACCCGGCTAACCACCGAAAAAGCCAGAAAATCTGGTCGATTTATAAATATCTTAAGATTTCTCTCGAATAACGTACTGTCAAGAAAGATCTGGCTAGTTTAATCTATCACACAGATTAATCTATTACGCGTATTTAACGAAGTTTTATTTAAAAAAGGGCCATTTATCTTTTCTTTGTTTGTTTCACGATAACACGTACGATATATAATGTGATATATCGATTTATTAATGTGATTGATTTTTATTTTTTTTGGTGAAATAAATTCGAGAAAAGTATCACGACTCGGTGAGTTCAGACTGCGCGTCTTTGAATCAGTCTACCGAAATATTCGCATTAGAGATCGGCCAACTAACACACGAATATTCTTCTTCATCGGTCATTTAATAATTATAACTTTCTAGGTCGTCTATAGCATGTTACGATTTTGAATACTCGTAGAATTATTTCTCTTACGTGTCACGAGAACTCTTGGATAATATTCTTACTTGCGAATGTTTCGCATATAAATCATCGTCTTCTTTTTATTTTCTTTTTTTTTTCGTTTTCTATGTTTGTCGGGTAGCCAATTCTATGTAACTCTTGATAAAATATGACAATTCAAATAGACGTATAATATATCGATAACACCAATGTTTTTTTGTTATTTTTATCTTACCTCGAATTTTCATTATTATCTTAAGTAATTATATAGGAATGTGTTATTGACCCGTTTGAAAGTATTCATAACGATTACTGATCCTAATACTTAATTGCAATCAGCGTTAGAATGTAGTATCTGTTACGAGGACGATGCATCGCATATCGTTTTGGCTAATCCCAAATAGACATATGTATAATTATGCCAGTATGGGCCAACTATTACGAAAAGTATGAAGTCACCTAATTTTAAGCCCACTCGATGACTAATTTTGTTTTTAATTGTCATATTAGATCATCGTACCCTGATATCATCTACCTGTATACTTTATAAAGTCATAGTACTCTTCGTCGTATTTTATTCATTCATTAACGATCATCGTGACAACTTTTAATGAACGTATATTTAATAATTATAATTTACGTATACTTGCTTAAAAAAAATGAGTTTTAAAGTATTAACTAATCGATGATTCTGTGTTGATCAAAGTTGTGCATGTTATATATTCTTATTTTTCAAGACATCCCTTTACCGATCTTCGGTCATTCTCTGCTTTACTTGGCACACATAAGCCCCTTCTGTCAAAAGTATGTCTCCGACAAAGAGCAAGGAACTTTAAGGTCGACACATGTTGCAGTCTTTCCATCAATGAATTATTTTAACTATAGAGTGATATATTTTAATAGAACGAAATTATCTTTCCCATGATTCGATTAAATATTTTTCTTTTAGGAAAAAATAAACAAAACAACAACTTGAGATATGAATTTGATTTTCAATAAAATTGATGATGATCGTTTGTTATCAAAATAATTGTCAGATTAAACAATACGTTTACGTGTTAGTTATTAGAATGTTTCTCGATCGATTAATGTTTGTCATAATTGATGTAAATTATAACTGAGACGCGACAAATTAATGGTTGAAAAATCAGGCTGCAAAAGGGTGGAATGCGAATGGCAATTACGAAGAGTAACAATCTCGAGAATGCTTTAGGGCTAAATGCCAAGTCTTACCGTGACGTTGTAACACTTGCTATTCCCTTTTGCTAAACCAAATTTGTAACCGTGTATTTAACTCGTATAATTTCAATTCTCTCGTCTGGAATTCTAATTAAATTTTCTTATTTTTTCGCATTGTCGAAACAAGTGTCGCTAGCTAATTTCATTCATTCGTATTAATCGTTGAGAGAAAAAGAGAGAGAGAGAGAGAGAGAAAGGGAGGAATTATGATTTTTATTTAAATAATCACGTTCGGTAGTATTTCATTTTCATTCACACCCCTTGCTGTTCCTCACCACCTCTTGCTTATATTTAAGATTTTCTCGAAGGTTGTAGTAGCGTTATTTCAGTTTTATGACCTGAACGGTTTCCAAGTTACAATCCGGGAAGGAACATAATTCTTTTTCTTGATTTTTTTTCTTATTTTTCGCTAACATCCGATAGGTAGAATTTGCAATCGTTGCAATATACTTTATCGATTACATCTGTTACGAACGTATGATTTATTTGTTAAACAAATGATTTCATTGCTTGTTAGGAATATTATTTAGCGACAAAAAATAAAAGTATAAAACGTTTGAAAAGATGCCTACCATAAGACGATTAGAGATCGCTAAGATTCCTGTAAATATCCACGTTTATAAAGGCATATGCCAAACATAATAACCGATTATCAAGATAACCAGTCCACCTATTTTCGAGCCAAGAGTCGTTTTAATAATAGAGACCTTACGTAATCGTTTAACCTTGGGTATCTTGGAAAATATGTTCGGAAATGTAGTGAAATTACACGAAAATTCGGTGTTTATCGCGTTCGACTAATTTCCGATGGTACAGAATCTACAGAGATGATAATAACTCGTCGATTCTATATGCAGGTCCTGAAAGGGGTGACTGAGAGGAAAGGGTTGGATGGTGGTACCGCAGGTCGGTATCCTTGTGGCTCTAGGATAAAATAAATCCCAGATTGAAAAGAGAAGAAGTAAAGGGGGTGTAAGAGGAGGAGGAGGAGGAGGAGAAGTGCAAGCGGGGTTTAATTCGAAGGCAAATAAGGTATAACCCTTTGCGTAACAGCGGGTAGTCAAAAGGAACACGGGCGCCCCGTAAACATGGGGGTCGCCGATGATTTCGCACCCAGCTTCACCCAGAAGCCCCAGCTTCGGCAGGAGGACGACGGGAACAGGTTGATCTTCGAGTGTCAACTGGTCAGTGCACCGAAACCTGAGATATCTTGGTTCCGCGGTGAAACGGAACTCAAGGAAGATGACAGGACAAATTTCAAAATGCAAAGCGTCGGGACGAACAAGTTTCTCGTTGTCCTCGAACTCGATGACGTCATCGAGACCGACGCAGGCTTGTATAAGGTCAAAGCCAAGAACAAGATGGGCGAGGTCGCGGCGTCTATCAACCTGAACTTCAGTCGTAAGTCCCACGCACCGTTTAATTTCCCAACGTTACGATGATGCCCGCGTCGTGCCTTTTGTTCCAAGATTTATTTTTATCCGAGAAATTCTACCCCCTCATCCCTTCCCTCTCCCTCCATGGTCGGCTAATCTACACGGCAATCATCACGAGCCCCTTGCAATTTGTTCCCTCCAAATACGAACATGTCTTTTTTTTGCTTTTAAATATTCATTGATAATCCTGAACGAAACGCACGACCACATTTCATTTTCCCCCGATTATCTTTTCCTAAATCATATTCGATTATCCTAAACGTTTATTCAACGCGTCATCATTTATCAACGAATTATCAGTCATAAATGTCGACATTGTATTTTTCAGCTGTGGATGAGCCTAGGGAGAAGTAAGTTGCGTTAAATGGAATATAGATTTGTCTCCGAGGCTCCCTTGTTGTTTGAGTTAGCTTTACGCTTTTTTTTCTTTTTTTTTTTCATTTATCGCTCTTATTATTTCATTTCATTTCATTTCATTATAATATTATTATTTTCATAACATTTGATCGCAATTGTAATTTATATCGCGTATGACGCTTCTTTTTACTTTTTTTCGTTCTAGCTGCTGAGCAACCATTAATAAGGGGGTGAGTGCTTCTATTGCAGATTAACGAGCTTAAAACTCGAGATACTAATATCGTTAGAAATGATCTAGGTTGCGTCTGGTGTGTTCCTCTAATTCGCGTGTTTCATTAATATTAACCAATGCACGCAACCCGGTGTATTCATTGCAATCGTTATGCGTTTCAAGCAATTTTATCTGACATAAATCGAAAAGATTGTATCTAATGCGATTAGATAGACGAATATAAAAGCGTACAAACAAAAATAAATTTTCTTGGTATGCAACTATTCTATTTTTGTATGTTGATAATCTTTCGGTAATATTCAAACGAACCGATAAGAATCCTACTCTCCAAGTTTCAACTTTTACATCTGTCTCTGGCCAATGTAAACGAATATACAGATTTTCTTAGAAACCGTATGCGGAAATAGAAATCAAACTAAAAACGTATCTGCGTCATTTTTAACGATTCGCGATTCTGGAAATCGTCTTATATAAAAATTCTAAACAGTTATAATATTGCTACAAAATTTTCAACGATTTTTCTTCTTCTTCTTCTTCTTCTTCTTCTTCTAACGTAAGTCGAGCGAGCGGCCAAATTATTTTTCAACCGTTGTAAATTTGAAATCTTACTTAACGCAAACAAACATTTATACGAATCCGTAAAATGAAATTGGGTCGGTCGACTAGGTAGCTTTCCCAATTGGACGAGAAATAATATAATTATCAATTGGAACGATATTTGTCTTCCTTTTTTTTTTTTTTTCTTGTTCCTTTATTAATATAATATATCTCAGATCTAATTCGTTTATTTATAAACGAAGAATAAATATATTCCCATGGAAAAAAAAGAAGTTATATTGAAAAGCAACGTATATTGGTAGTTGCAATCGTTTAAGGAGAGAATTTACCGATCGGTGCTTTAGAAAGCCAAACGAAACAGCTGCAGCCTAGTTCTATGCTAAACTTAGCTACAACGTGTTTCGCTCAGGCTAATGCACTTGCCTTTCAAACTCATCGACTATCCAAAGATCGAGGATACGTTGATCGGAATAGTTTTTCTCGAAGTAGTCACGTTCCATTCTAAACGTTCAATGATACTTTACATAGTATAAACACATCTTTTATCATTTTTATTAGATTATTTGAAAGTTTGGCAAAGGTGTGTGTTGTGTCGCGTTAAAACGTAACGATTTAATATAGATATATTTTTGTCATTATTGCGAGAAACAAATAGACCTCGATCGATGATCGAGGGTACATTGAACTCGATGAGAAATTTAAATTCATTGTAACATCCCTCGTTTTAACGTGGTAACGTCTTTAGAAGGAATGCTCATAGTTATCAACGGAGTTACATAAAACTAACCACTTGAGCTAGGCTAAACAAAACGTTCGTTCGTCAACTATTTTTGGCAACGATCTGCGAAAATTGCGATAAATTTTCGACCGGCTTAACGTGGTAGTATGCAAGATCATAAGACAACTCTTCTCCATTATCCGGTCACCACTTGCCAACACTTCCGCGATATAAACAGCGGTACTTTGTATTTATGCACTGATATTTCTGCGAGTTGCAATTTTTACGATTCAAATCTTTGTACTTATATTTCGAAAGGTAAATTAATGGAGATTGTCAAATTCTTAAACGACTATTAAAAGTAACCTAAATCGAGTTTTAAGAAATTTCATGATTGACATATTATATTAATATCATTTCAAATGATGTTTAGTTTAAAAACGAATGACATTGTGACGAATGATGATTATTGGCTCGTCGTGTGTGAAATTAATGTAACAATTTGTGTTCTAGCATTGTAATCTATTACATCTAACAAGTGTTACTTCTTTCTTTTTTATTTTATTTTTCTTCAAACGAGATCAAGATTTTTTCTTTCATGATTACAGACAAATCGATGGCATTGCACCAACTTTTGCGAAAAAACCGGCAATCCGGCAAGAAGATGATGGTAAACGATTACTTTTCGAATGTCGCATTACCGCTGATCCCACGCCGAAAGTTATGTGGTTTCATAATGGAAATGCGGTTAAGGATTCGTCGAGACACAAGGTAGACAATTTGTGATCATTAGATATATTATGAACATTACGATAATTCGAACGTTTGTCTAATTTAGTTGACCGTCGACAAAGATGGTCATTCCTATTTCGCTACGTTGGAAATAAAAAACGTGACCGTAGAGGATGCTGGCAAATACAAGGTCACAGCGAAAAACGAGCTTGGCGAGTCCAATGCAACCATTTCATTAAATTTCGATAGTAAGTATTTAAACGATATACCTTCATTTGCTACGTAATTAAATACATAGTTAAGATCCATTTTACACCGGTATTCCACTCTTTCATATTTAAACATATGAACATTCTTCTTAAGAAAGTGGAAAAGAAAGGTGTAATCTGGATACTAGGCTTTTACTACTTTCATTTCATTTCATTTCATATCATTTCATTCTTACATTCACTCGGGATGTATATCGACAAATTGTTCATATTTGATTGTTCACTTGTTATTCATTATTTTTTTTTTATAATTTGATCTATTATATCAATCCTCCTCTCTTCTATTCACAAATAAATATACAGTTCACCTTTTATTCATTCTTATTTTTTTTTTCTGTTCTATCGTATATTCGCTATTATATTTCTCTTTTTTTTTTTCTTTTTTTTTCTTTTTATCTTTCCTTTTAAATTCTAGCATATAATTATTTACACGTCAAACAATTTATTTTTTAATTTATCTTTATCGTAAGCACGTACAGAGCTGTCGAGCTACGAGCACGTATCGATGTCGGCTCGATTGAGCCACGATATACAGTCCCATTTTTAATTTAATCAACTAAACGTCATGAAAAACATCGTTTGGACGAATTTCATCATTACAATGTAGACCGCAGATAAGAATTAATCTATAACGTAACACTGCTTTAAATTACGTTTATATTCGATCGTATCTTGAACGTTCATATACACACTTTATTATTTCATTAAAATATTTATAATTATTATTTCAAAGGATTATATTCACATTGCGAATATATCATTTAGCTTGCTAGCTATTGCGAAATAATATAAAAAAAAGTGCAAGATACTGCAAGATACGATCGTCGATTCGCCTTATACTGACGCTTCGTTAGGTTGCTGCAGTGATATTTTTCGATCTGTACTTATTTATTATTATTAGTCGTGTTTGTCGTGTGTCATATTCGTATGACGATCATTAAATATATAATAAAACAAAGCTCACAACTTTGAAATTGCTTTTTTCTTGAGGTACAACATATACATTACACAACACACACGTACATATTAAAATAATATCATTAAAAAAAATTATATATATATATCCAAACTCTTATAACTCTCTGACAAAAACTTCTAATATTGTAAATAGCATCATAGTCATTTTACATGTGTGTTTCGTAATATTACGCTACTTTATTCATTTTTTCATTAGAGCCTTTTTTAAAGAAATAACTTTTGACACAATATGTACATTAGTATTTATTATGCGCATCATAATTTGCGAGGCAACTTCGTTGGAACGGTCACGCTCGTTTTTCCGGTTGCATTTTCGTATGACGTGATTTTGTTTTTTTTCTTAAGGAGATAAAAGAACGCTCTTTACATGCGTGTCTCTACGAGCTGCGTTAAATGAATGAAATATTCGAAAAATGCAAGCAACCTAAACTATAAGATGTCGGTTGGATAGGCAATTTATTTAATAAAACTTTGTATTCAACGATTTGTATCGTGCGTTGTTTTTATAAAAGATTGTGCGTTGAACTGACTGATGTATAAATCGTTTAAAAAATATTGTTATTTTTTGATATTGTAATCAATCGAAATAGAACATTAAGAAATTTAGGTATAATTGTAAGCCGAATCGATACGTGACTCCTGGTCGTACGATAAAGGGTCGAGCGTATAATAATTTCGCTGCTGTAAAAATATTAAATGACAATAGGGGATGGGAAAGGAAAGGAAAGGAAAGAAAAAATATTTATGACAGCAGCAGGAGCAGCAGCGAAAAGATTAAATACGTGAGAAATATGTAAAGATGATGAAAAATGATTAATGAAATATACATGTACCGAAATTTCGAACGTTTGTGCTAAAATAGGCGACGAGGCACCCGTACCCGAAGACGGTATTAAACCGACATTCACCGAACGACCGGTAATAAGACAATCAGACGACGGTAACACCATCACCTTTGAATGCCGGTTAGCCGGTGATCCAAAACCGAGTGTTAAGTGGTAAGGGATTATAGTTTAATTCGATCATGGAAGTACTTATTTGGAATGTTTAGATTCGATCGTGCATGCGGAGAAAATTATTATTATTATCATCTGTTATATAAGAATTTATTATACGTACTTCCAAATTAAATTATTATAAATCGAATGACAATATAAATGGTGCGTAACGCGTCCTAAAAAAACCAAAACAAAAAAACCAAAAAATACAGGTACCACGGTAGCGATGAAGTCAGAGAAGGAGGAAGATACAAGATGTCGTTAGAACTCGATCAGAAGTTATATCATCTAGCACGGCTAAGGATCGACAACGTAGCAAAAGAGGATGCCGGCGAGTACAGGGCCGTTGCTAAGAACAAACACGGCCAGGGTGTGGCAACTATTAATTTGAACTTCGAGGGTGGCGACAAACTCAAGTACGCATCATTGAAAGTTTTATAACGCGTCAACGCGAAACGCGTATGCGCATATCGTGTTTTATTATTTCGATCGGTCACGATTTCTATGTATACACATCTTCATCTCGCTGCATTGCACAACTTTTCGGATTTTTTGTCTTGATCATTTAAAGGGATGATGATTTTTACGCGTTACACATATATTTTTGTCATTTAAAATTGACGAGAAGCAGCGCGATGAAGATTCGTCGGTGAAAAGAGAACAAACAAAGAAAAAATCGGAAGATCGTATCGTATTGTCCCGCTGCCCGAAATCCGATTCTAAGGAAATTGGTTTGTCTGAAATGTCGATTTACGCAGAATACCGGACGGTAAGCCACCACGATTCCCGAAGAAACCAACTATTCGCCAGGAAGGAGACATTTTGATAATGGAATGCATCCTAGAGGCATATCCGGTACCGGATATAACTTGGTATCAAGGACAAAAAGCTATAACCGACAGTAGACGCGTCAAGATGTCTCGCAAGGCAACCGGCAAGGACACATATCTTCTCACATTAGAAATCATGAATCCTACCAAGGGGGACGGCGGAAATTATCGTTGCAACGCGTTTAACAACTTTGGCGAAAGTAACGCAAACATCTCTTTAAATTTCCAAGGCAAGTCGAAGGCCCGATACGATAGGCCCTTTCGAAAAGCACCACACAACACGCATGGATTACGGAACAAAAAAAAAAACGGTGGAACGAATCTCCTTATTTTTTTTTTCATTGCATGTCCGGGAAACATCAATTTTGATTATTACTTTCCTTTTACGCGTAACGATCAAACTTTGCGAAATTTCTTTCTGATTAGGGTTTTCTGCCCACGTATATTTCCTTCTATCCGATCCTATAAGTATTTCTGTCTGCACGTTCAAAGATTTATCATTGTATGTCGTTCTTTCATTTATTGTTAGAGGTGAGTAAATTAAAAAAAAATAAAAAATATATATATATATATATGTCAACTTCGCGCGCAAAGTTTGTAATAAATAAAATAAAATTGTTGTATTTGTCAATTTAGTTATTCCAATTGTTAAATATGTGCTTAACATCTAACGTGAAAATTGCTGTACATGTTGGTTCTCGTTGATAACAATACGAAACGCGTTTCTACGTAGAAATTTTATTCCGGTATAAAAGAAAAATCCGGAATATTTGAGAATAATGTTTATAAAATATATCTAACCATGGATCTTTCCAAGATACAGAAGAGAGTGCGGGTTTCGCGCCGTCATTCATCGAGAAGCCACGTATCATTCCGAACGAAACTGGAACATTAATCACGATGAAATGCAAATGCAAGGCTAAACCTAAGCCGGAAGTCACGTGGTTCCGTGGCGCCAACGTAGTCAAAGAATCATCGAAAATTTCGATTAAGACGAAAACGGTCGAAGAAGACATTTACGAGCTCATATTAGAAATTAAGGTCAGATACTTTTCGAGTTTTTATTTATTGATTTTTTCAATGACATATATTTAATTAATATCATATATATATATATATATTATATATACACTTTGCAGGATCCCGCGGCACCAGACGGTGGTACTTACAGGTGTCACGTGCAAAACGAATTTGGCGAAAGTAACGCTAATTTAAATCTAAATATCGAAGCCGAGCCTGAACCAGAAGGTGATGGTCCAAGTTTCGTTGAAAAACCACGAATACAATCACAGAATCAAGGTAAACTGGTTATTATGGATTGCAAAGTTAAAGCTAATCCAAAACCAGAAATAGTTTGGACCCATGCTGGAAAAGTTGTAAAAGAATCATCCAAGATCTCAATCAGTATTGTCAAAGAAAAAGAAGATATCTATTACATCAAATTGTCTTTGAATGATCCTGGTCCTGAGGATTCTGGTCTTTACAAATGTAATATTAAAAATACTCTCGGAGAACTTAATGCCAATTTAACATTGAACGTTGAAAGTAAGTTTAATTGTTCTTCATTATATGCAAATATATACTTGCTTTGTTTATTTATCGAGATATATTATATATATCATTCTTTTTCCTCGTACTTTCAGTTATACCTGTAATTAAAGAAAAACCAAAGGTCATCAAAATTGTAAAGAAAAAGACCGTAATAGTTGAGTGCCACGTGCTTTCCAAATTTTCACCAGAATGCACGTGGTTCAAAGAAACGCAAGCAGTCAAGGAAGATACTAGACATAAATTACACGTTGAACAAATTAGAGAAGTTAGTATTGTTTGGTATATATGTGTTTGATAAAAGTAAAATCAATTATCATACCAAAATGTGAATTTCTTTTCTAATTACAAATCTAATGTACAGGGAGAGTTTGCTGTTAAATTAGAAATCGAACAAATGACCAAGACTGACAAAGGTACATATAAATTGGTCGCACGTAATGAAAAGGGCGAAGCTACGTCACAAGTAGTCGAAGTTACGGAAATAGTTGAGGAAGGTGAAAAACCACAAATTGTTACTGGTCTCAAATCGGCGGTAAATATATTCGCTAAAATAATATCTTTTTTTTTAATTAACTATTCATACTTATAACTATTAACTATTCATTACTTTACTTGTAGACAATTGAGGAAGGTAAAACAATCGAACTTGTGGCTAGCCTTGCACAACAAGATCGTAAAGTTACAGTCACATGGTATAGGTAAATAATCATTATACATTTTAACTTGTTTTAAAAAGATTTTTCAATTAATTAATTAATAAATATGTTCAATTAAAATATTCATTTGTTTTCTTTAATTATATAGAAACACGCAAGTGGTTAAGGCCTCCAAAGATATTATGATATCTTTTAATGGTTTAGACATGAAATTGACCATAACTTCTGCTACAACAGAATTATCCGGCACGTATAGGGTTGTCGTTAGTAACGATTATGGCAAAGACGAATCATCGTGTCATCTTGTCGTCAGGGTAATTAAAAATATACTCTTTTTTTTTTATTATATCCTCTACCTTTGGTTTCTGTCCCTTTTTCTATTCGTTTTTGGATTATGAATTTTGTGATTTATTCTATTACAGTATCTTGTTTATAAGATTCCTATATTGTTTTCACAATACGTAATTAAAATTCGTCCCTCTGATTAAAAATGATCTATCGTGAATTAAATTTATAAATATGTTGATTGTTATTTGTTCGTAACATGAAAACAAATGTTCCCCCATATACATACACGTGTGAAATGATTCCCATATGAAATGTCTTTACTATGTCGCATGCACTTCCTTCTTTACCATATTATAGAAGAAAGAGGAAGAAAAGAAAGAAGAAGAAGAGGAAGAGAAAAAGAAGAAAAAGGTTGAAAAGAAAGAAGAGAAAAAGGAGGAAAAGAAAGAAGAAAAGAAGGAGGAGGAGAAGAAGAAGGTAGTGAAAAAGGAAGAAAAGAAGGAAGAAAAAATAGAAGAAGAAAAGAAGGTAGAACCAAATAGATGCATTTCCTATGATGTTCCATATAAATTAATAGTAACTATTTATGTGTATTACCTTTCCTATTCCCTAGAATTTGTATTCGTGTTTTTGTTATAACTAACACAACATCATAACTATAATACATACACTTTAAACAATATAATATTGAAGAATTGAGAAATAGATATTTTTTAATTATTAAAAATTATTGAATAATGTACCCTTTTTCCAAATATTTCTTATTACTATTCGAAAATTCCAAATGCAATTCTGTTTCTCTTTTCTTCATTGGAACAATCTGGCTGGCTCTGTTGAAACTTTATCGTTTTACGACACGAAAGGTTAAAAGTTCGGTATGGAGCGATTATGAAGATGACGAAGATGATTTTTATAATGAAGAAACAATAGAAGAAGAAGAAGAAGAAGAGGAAGTGGTGAGTGTAATCGAATCCAGCATCAACGAGCCGATTGTCGAAGAGCCAGAATCAGAAAATTATTCGCAAATTGAGGTACACGTTACAACGAAATATACACTCTCTTACTCATTATTAACACATACACACTTTCTTAATTTATACAATAATTCGTATTTGACATAATTTCTTTGCCAATATTATTTGAACTTTGTTCTATTATCTATCTGATACTAGTTTTACATTTTATATATTCTAATTAATCTTTCTATATTTCTTATTCTATTTTCATATATTTTCTACTATCGCTTCGAAATTATAATATGATGGCCTCTTTTCTTTTCGTATTATTTACTCTTCAAAGACATCAAATTGTATTTTTTTAAATGATTTTTTTTAAGGATATACCGGATTCAAAACCAAATGGTATCGACAGTCCGAATCTGAAAAAGGTACGATAAAATTATTCGGTTTTTTTTCTCTTTTTTTTTTAATAACTACAGAATATCTTACATTAGGATTTGAAAAATAAATAGGAAAAGAACATGTGAACAAAGACACACGAATGTTTCAGTCTTGTATATTACGTATATCATCCATGGTTTGTAATTTTGTCCCTGTGATGTGAATAATCCTTCGATTGTATCCTTTGTGTTTGTCTTGTTCGAACGACAATATATATGGGATATGGATAAATTAAAAGATTATTATTATTATTATTATTATATAATGCTTAAATAATGTGATGTACGAATAGCAATGTAAATTAGTTTAGCCAAAAATATTTTCGTTAATTCATTATTTTGTAAAAAAAGAAAATGATTAATTTATTTAATTAGGGATTAGCTATATTTTCTTATTTTGTTTAAACGATCATTATATATTAAATATTGTTATACTTTTGTTTCAGAAAATGGAGATTATACAGGTGAGTGTAAAAACTCGTACAGCAGGTTTTCGGTAATGTATTCGCTCGAATTCAGCTTAAACAAATCTTTACAGCTATTTATTTAAGCTACAAACTAAATGACATTTACAGCTTAATGCTTATATTATTTATGATATTCAAGAAATAAACGAGATAACGTGCGTTTATCATTGTTGGCATTTACATTATAATACAAGGCATATATTTATTCAGTTATTTTTACAGAGCATCATTTCTGCAATATTTAATTCTACATTTTAGCTTACTAACGATTTTTGATTTTATTTTTTCAGCTACATATATATATATATATATATATATATATATATATATATATATATAGATATTTATATATTGCTTACTTTACATTTATTTAATTTTTCAGTGCTGCGCTTATTTATGCATAGTATTCTTACGATTTGTATGTATTTTTAAACACCATATTACAACAAATTCAAATAATCGAAATATTTGACACTTTCCTATATCCTTTATCTTTTATGGAAGCTGGGTTTTGAGTGTGTTATCATACGTCCGAATTTCCCAAATTTGTTTTTCAAATTTTTTCAATTGCATGCTAACCTGCTATCTATTAAGTGAAAATAAAATGAACGCGAGTAAGCTTTACGAATACGTACAAAGATATCTTCGTTGTGATTTTACACAAATTTAAAAACGAATTATTATATTTTTCTATCGTATGTCATTTTCATTTTATTTTCACTTTATTAACATTCGTACGTAAATGGTATATTTCAATATAAACATATGTGTTTTATGAAATATAGAAAGAAGAAGAAACCTTTAATAACGTAGAAAAGGTAGAAGAGAAGAAAAAATCGATAAAGGTAAAAAATAATTGCATATATATTTTTAATTACACATATACGAAACCTATTAAACATCATTTATTATATTTCTTATATTTTAGAAGAAACCTGACGAAAAGATCGAAGATAAAAAGGAGCCCGAAGTAAGTACAATTAGATAATATTATTTATTAAACATTCATTATGATAAAACTAATTTGATTTACAGAAGAAAATAATTAAAAAGAAAGAACCTGAACCTGGTAGCCGTAAACAATCTATTAGCAGGGTTAGTATTTTATGCATTTCAATATTTAACAACTAAATCATGAGTATACTACTTATATAGGAATTATTTTTTAAATCTAATTTATGGTTATTCTAGGTGGAAACTATGAAAACGGAAAGCCGTCGTAGTTCTTTAGTTATGACTCAAGAAAAGGTATCATATATTTTCTATGATAACATTTATTTCTTATACATTTTTGATATTCATTTAATACACTTTTAATTGGAATATAATTCATTCCTGAAACAATAACTCTACTTTATACACTATTATTATTTTTTATTTTTTTTTTGCACGTACAGATAACAGAAGATGGTTCTTCGTCACCACAACGACGTGTTTCTATACAACAGGTACACATATACATACATGACATACCAATCATATTATTATATTATTTTTGACAACACCATTTATATGCATTATTATTTAATCGAAGGGAATACACAACGAATACCATTAATTGCGATAGAAAATTTTTAACAAAATCTATACGTTGTTATACGTTAATAAATATTTGATTATTCTAGACCGAAGAGGAAGTCAAAACGGAAAGTAGAAGATCTTCGATCATCGAAAAGAAAAAGACTACCCTCGAAAAGGTAAAACTTTCTTCTTATATGATATTATTTATTGTATTTTTATTAATATTGTAAATAACAATATATTTAATATAGATATTAGAACGTAGATCTTTTTAACATTTATCTTATTTTATTTATATTTATTTATTTATTCATATTTTAATATTATTTTGAAACCATCGGGTAAGTTTTTTTTGTTGTATGTTTTATCTTCTTACGTTTGACGAGAGAAGAATTTTGTAATCCTTGTGAATAACAATTTGTTAATAATTAATATGAAACGAATATAAAGGAGTATACGAACAATGACAAATATGTGGAATATAATACAACGTATATTTCACTAGTGTATTTTTCGATAATTTTTTTTTAGAAGGATGAACCAAGTATAGGATACAAAAAATCTGCTGTAACATATCGTAATGATCAGACAAAGGTACACACATACATTACATCATACATTCTACATTTATATTTACACACGTATATATTAAAATTGATATATTTTTTTTTTTTTTAAATATATTTTTGTTACTCGAATTGGATGTTTAGGAAATTGCACAAATTCCACGAATCAGAGATACACTTTCCAGACCTGTTGACAATAAAAAGGTACAATTATAAAAACGTTAATTGGCAATAGAACGATTTCACATGGAAGTGAATTAAAATTAAATTTGTATGTGTTTTAGGAGGAACCAACAATCTTGAAACACACAATACGCACACGAAACTTTCCGGAAATTAAAATTAAACCACGCGAAAATGATCGCGATAATCAAATCGAGGTACACACAATTCCGGTTTCACAAAAATACAATCGTTATTATTTTTATATTTATATCCATTTCTTCTTTTTTTTTTTAATTGGATAAATTTTAGGATATATGGGCACCAAAATCTGATTCTAAATCTACCGTTTTAAAACGTAATAGAAAAAAAGACGAGGTATAAGATTGATTTATTGTATTTACATTTGCAACAAAATATATAATTCAATTAGAATTTAAGAATTAAATTAAAAAACAAAAGAAACATTCGCAAATTGAATTTTAGAATGTCCCAAAATTGGCGTACAAGCATGGCACAGTTAAATCTGACGATGAAATTGAGGTATAAAATATGCACATCATAGTTAGATAATATATGCAATAAGTTATGTTTATTACTTGTTAGTTATACATTAATGTAAATAACTTTAGGATATATGGGCAATAAAATCAGATACACCGGTTATGAGACAAACTAAAACTCAGGTACACGCCACAATACACGATGTTAGAACATATATTATATTTTATGAATCATATAACGTAGAATTATTAATCAATCATTACGACTTGCATTTTAGAATATGCCAGAACCATCCATAGAATTACATAAACCGGAATCTGAGGATGAAATCGAGGTATTCAATACTCGTGACATTTACATAACACTCATAGTGTTTTTATATTATACGACAGAATAGTTTTGTTAATTGTAATATGCATCACTTTTAGGATATATGGGCATCGACACCTGAACTTGATAATGCTAATAGAAAAAGTCAGGTACACGATATATTATTTTTTATATATTTTGTTTTTCAATCATTACTCTTTTACTTAACACACCTTTGATAACAGGGACTAAGTACAAGTAATGCATTCTTTTAGGAAACACCAAGATCTTCCTTCGCATCACACACACCTAAACACGATAGAGACATTAAGGTATCACGTGTAACATTGTTTTTTATTTTTTCAATTTGTTAATTATTACAAAGTATATTGATTAATTTATACACGTGAGAATACAAATTTTAGGATGTAGAAAAACCAAAGACTGAACATCTCGAACAAAAACTTGCTGAAAAAGTAAAGGTATACATTGTACTATACTTATTTTTATCAGCACTTAAATTTTTATCTAGTTTTAAATATTTTTCAAATGAGATTACATATGTATATATGTACATATGTAAAGTAGCTTTAATACGTAATATTTTAGACTATTCCAAAAAAGATACCGAAACGCGAATCATCATCGAGCAACGATGAAATCGAGGTACACATCTATGCGATCAATTTTATTTTTATTCTTGTGACACATTTATTTATTTTTTTTTTTCATTTATCTCAATCATTTTAGGATATATGGGAGACTATGCCTGAAACTCGAATGCAAAAAACTAATGTAAAGGATAAGGTACAATACATTTTTACACGTACAATTGGTATTACGTATACTTACAAAAATGATACATTGGCAATATGTTTTAGGAGACACCAAAATACACATCGAAAATAAATTCGCGCGAACCAATTAGAGATGCTAAAGTATATATTATATATAATATTCGTTACATTAATAAAAAAATAATTTTATAACAATACATATACTGATATACGTTGTGAATAATTTTAGGATACATCTACACCAAAAATCACAACACCCACAGACAAACTTGATAAAAAGGACGAGGTATTACTTCACACTAATATACTTTCACATTGTACACACATTGTATTATAAATGATTACGAAATTTATTCCATTTTAGGAATCTTCCAAAACTGTTTCTAAACTACGTTCGCCTAAACCCACGAACCAAATGAAGGTACACAAACATATTACACATTTACACAATATTTACATAGCAACAGATTTTCTCGAAACTTGTTTAGATTGTTAAATACAAACGTTTTATTTAAATATATCTATTTAAATATACGATTATACTTAGATAGGGGAATTTGTGTTTTCAGGATGAAGAAACTAAACCTAATATAACTGCCATTGATAGTAAGGAAACACCTAAGGTACACATACGAAACTCTCAACATATAGGACACATCTTATGGTTTTTTTACTCGACTAAACATTTTTGTAATTTTTTTTTTAGATAAAACAAGACACGAAACAAATAATTGACACGCAAACACCGACAGAAATTAAGGTACACAACGCGACACTATACAATTTTATTTCCATACTTATACAAAGCACTTCGTTACAAAATATTTCGATATTTATATGCTAATATTTTTCATACTTTTGTAAAACAATTTTTAGGAGGAACCGAAAGTTGATACAAAAAGTTTACCTGGTAAATTATCGGACACTCAGGTATATTATCTTTTTTTCAGAACACACTAAGATTTTATTTCGATTAGCTTGAGCTTTTATTGATAGAAAAAAAACAAAAAAGATTCTAATGAAAATATTGCATTCGTAGGTTGAAACAAAAACGACAGCTAAGACATTAACCAAACCTGAGGAAACAAAGGTAGACATATAATTTACACGCGCGTTTACAGTAAAATAATAATTGAAATATATTAATTGATATTTTTCATTAGATACATATATAATATTAAAATAATGTTTTATAGAAAGATGAACTTAAACCGGCTATTGCGAAACGCGACGCGAAGCCTAAGGTACATAATAAACACTTACAATATATTCATTCATTTACATTCATTTACATACATTGTAACGGGACATCTAATAACAACACACGTTCAAAAAAGCACATTAAACAAAAATGACATATCGTTCGTTTTTCATGCACCGATATCATAACGCATTTCATTATTTTTCAGTGATCCCATTTGATCGTCATTTCAATCATTCGTAATTGCATAATAATCTTTCTCTCATCTATATAATATAATATCAATATTTTATTATTAAAATGAGTGAATATATATATATATACATTTTTAGGAGGAACCAAAAGCAACACTAAAACCAGAAGACACCAAGGTACACACGACAAATACTCCTCAATACATTAAACTACGTAGTTTTCAAATCATAATTTTACACGCAAACGATGAAATATTCCGAATGTGTTCGATATTATTACAATGTAATTTATTTTTAGAAGGAAGAACCCGTCGATAAACGTAAAACACTCGGCAAACCCGAGGAACCAAAGGTACATAAATCATCACTATAATAATCAAGCATAAATTACAATCAGATAATACATTTCATTATAATACGCTTATACAATAAGCACAGAGTAAAAAGAAAAAAAAGAAAACGTATCAAGATATTTATCTGACAACATTTGCTTAATGTATTTTTAGATATATGTGTATGTGTGTAGATTATTTATAATGGCCATGTATTTATAAATTATTCATTAAACGATCTATGCGTGATTACAGAAAGAGGAACAAGAAAGGAAGCTTAGTCTCAAACAAACTACCAAAGTATGTATATAATGTATTACATGTGTATCTATACGATATAACACATTTACATTAAAATCCAAATATTTTTTCTCTTTTTATAGATAGAAGAAGAGAAGAAATCTTTGAACAAAATTGAACTAAAGGTTAGTGTTGGAGTTATGTTTTACGAGTGGTCATTTTAATCAATTATTATCATTATATATGTTATCGTCAAAGCCGGAAATCAGTCATTACTAGTAATTCCTCGGCATTACTATGAATGCAAAAAGCCTTCAGACGAAGTCAGAAATAAGACTTTCTAGAGAGTTTTTCCTAAGTTATAGAATATCCAATTACTTTTTAAACAATGTTGAAAAGAATACATTCTCGGGCACAGACACACACAGCAAAACGCAACTCCCCCCCCTAAACAATCCATATTACCATCCACAATACTATGACGGTAACATATATAATTTGAAATAACAATGCGTAGAATACACACATTGGTTAACAATATTAAAAAATATAGTATCGGTATAATCGTACAAACATATAATATACCGTAAAATATCGTTAGCAATTATCACTATTTCAAATACAGCCAAAGGAAATCGAAGCCACCGAAGCAAAACCAAAACCAAAACCACGTAGACCACCGAAACAAGAAGTAAAAAGCGATAATTTTCAAATGATACAACTTAAACCCGTTTCAAGAGATCCGTCAAAGCCTCAGAAGGCTACAAATGGCTCTGTTGAGTTGAAGGTATCCTCGTATACAGGAATCTCAGCATTTCTATCTCTCTATCTCTTTCTATCTTTCGTATCAATCCTTTCGTGCTAAACAAATTGATCCGAATATTCTTATCTAATAATGATAAATCTTTTCTTCTTATTCTTCTTATTCTTCATCTTCTTCTTCTTTGTTCTTCCTTTATTGTAATTAAAAAAATGATCTAAATATTCTGTGACTCACAGCAATTCTTAGCCGTTTTTACAATTGACTCACACATTCTACAAACTGGACTATCTTTTTTCTATGTCTTCCTCTTGATGTCAGTTAATACTGACATTTCTCATTCTTTATGGAATTTAACTTATCCTGTATGTTACACACCTTCTATGTTACACTGTATCTTACAAGAATTCTACTAAACACGAATCTATATGTTTATAAAAATATCATTTTTCCGCTTTTTGATATATCTAATTTTCTTAAGCGCTTGTTCTAAGGAGAATACGAACAATCGTATCAAAATTTTAACTTATATGTTCAAACTGTAAATAACACTATACGTAAATCACACAAATATACAAGATTTATTTTATTTTCTTTTCAAACACTCTTTCCAAACTTACGAATTAATTAATAATAAAATGTGACCAGGAACAGGTAAGATTAAACTGGTTACGTAATAATACAATGTAAACTTACACTTCCTTTGAATGTAATTAATTTGACGTCAATAATATCTAAACAGAAATGCTCTTTCTCTTTCTATTCTATGCATCATACTTATCGTTGATAACACACTATTCTACCCCTATTTATATTCTTTTATGGTAACACGTATAAAAATGAAATATATGATTTTGTAAATTTGGCAACGTATAGAAAGTCGAAAAGGCAGAGAAACAAGAAATAAAGAAAGGAAAAATTGCTAAAGCGACGAAGGAAAGCAGTTACGAACTTCCGGAAATTCCTGATTACGAGAGGCCGGTACTTGAAAAACCACAAGAATTCGATTTTGGCGAACGCGAGAAACGCGAGAAAACAAAATTGGACAGACCGACGACGCAGGTAAATCAAAATTGTTGTTCGACGATTAATTTGTTGAAAAATTGTAATCTTATTAATTTTCATTTGTTACTTTTTTATGTTTCTTTTCGACGATCGGACGGTGTAGAAATTCGATTCTAAGGTGAGTAATAAAATTGTCCTTTTTTTTTAATTCTAACAATAGAAGAAAAAAAACAAACAAATAAGGTAGTGATTGATCGAATTAGAGAACAGAAATAGGCAAAGTTTCAAGGGACAAAAACAATTTCAACACTTTCGTCAATTTTAGACAAAGAATGTTTAGAAACTTCCCACTAGATCGTCGAAAGGCGTATTTAATTCAATGATGATTAAAATCTTAAGAATCAAATTTATAGCTTGGCAGATCTCTTAACTCAAGCAGGAATGTTAATATCAGTAGGCGTCTACCTGAAAACGCGGATAGAAAATTTCATTTCATTTCAGCAAAGGTCGTTTCCGTAATTAGCCCACCTTGGTGCAACGCGATTCCATCGAATCCAATGAAATGGAATAAAAGTAACGGATATTATGTCAAAAGACGGGTGACACAGAATCCTGGTTTTTTTTTAAAGGTGTTGCCAAAAATTTGACTTCTTGTTTTCGTCATATTTTCCGTTTTATCCTACAAATTCGAAGGGCTTGGCGCAATGTACGACAATCCGAATCACAAATACTCACTAAGTATTAACAAGTATTTACTTATTCTCTATTACATCTATAGAATAATCGTAATTAAAACGACTCGATTTTGGTAGAGAGTTAATGATCATCCAAGACACAAATCCCTACCCCTCCCCTACCCCTCCACCCATCCACCCCTCTCTCTCTATCTCTATCTCTCCGTCTCGTTTCGGGTTCCCTTTGGCAACCGATGAATGCAGCTTCCACCATCCACGTGAAGAGAAATCCGAGAGGTAGGACGAGAGATGATATTCTTTTGGCAAATAATTCGAAACGTGTCATCACCCCGTCCCTCGCGTAAAACTAGCCCGTTTTTCCTAGTGAAAATTTAGGATGGATAAAACGTTGATCGCTATTTTCGGTCTTATTGCGTTCGTCTTTCGGATCGAGAGACACCTTTCCAAACTGAGCTTTGCGTATCGAAATCGAGAGGATCAGTCGTAATCGTGTTACGATCGGGATCGTATTCACAATCGTGAACTCGATTAATTCTCTTCTCGGAAAATACAATTTTTATTTTTATTAAAGGAATAATTTATAATCGTTTTGTGCAAACACAAAATTAATATTTCATTCGATTATATTATTTGAAAGAATTAATTCGTGTTGTTTTATGTGCCATTTTGGCAATTGTGAACATTTGTTTGATCTATTGTAGCCAAAGTTACCCGAGATCAAGGCACCGGAAACACCGAAAATCGAAGTTATTAAGGACGTAACACCTGCAGGAAGTAGAAAAGGATCTTTGGTACCAGGAAGTGGTTCAACCAGTCGACGTGGTTCTCTGATACCACCCGAAGAATTAGGTCGTAGACCTAGCCTGATCATCAGTGACGAGGTATGTTACGAAAAATATTTCTATTTGATCCTCAAGGTATATCGACTGCCGTATCAACAAAAAAAAAATAAAACAAAAGGGCCGACTCGAAAGGTGCAACAGTTAATTTATCTTATCCGTTAGATTAACATTCGAATACGGTCAAGATATTTTCTGTTGTCAAACAAAATATATTGTAATATCATTATTATTTGAATACTGTTGCACCTCTTTAAATTCGCATGACCGAATGATTTGTTTCAAAACGATTAATATCAGACGACAGCACGAGGAGCTGTTAACGGATCTTTGTTTCATCGAGAACTTTGATAATTAGGATCATTTTGTCAAAACGCCAAATAAATTTACTTAACATCTAGTAATGACTTGAGCGAGTCTATAAATATCTAGATTCACGAGCGTCCTTATTCTGATTGAATTATTCATTACGCATTAATGTTTTTTTTTTTTGTTTAAGCGTTGAAAATATATTTCTCATATAATTGAATAAAGGAATCAATCTTTTTAACGAAATTTTAACGTTTTGAAATAGATCGGTCTGTCTTTCAAACGGGATATTCTTTCAAGTTCTTTTACGTTTTCGAAATTAATCTCCGTATAAGTTTAGTTTAAAAAGCAATTAAATATATATAAATCATGAATAAAAATATATGAAAATATAAAAAAGCGTTAGAGGAGCTTGTAAGAATCTCGTTTGTAGGTCCTAATGAAAATGGTTGAAATAATGCTGATATAAGAAGCTATAGGTGAACGAGTAGGTAGATGACTAGCTGATGCTGGTTTAGCCATAGATTTTTTTGAGGTTTTTTTTCTCCTGAGTTCCGTAGAAATATCCGTGATTTTTTTTTAGCGATCCTACCCGTGATGATATTAGTAATAGATATCCATAGACGTAAAGTCCCTACACGAGTTTCTGTGAAAGTGTATTTAGAAGGTCAGGAGTGTGCGTTATTTTTAGTGTAAGCAAAGCGTGAAATTTAGATTAGCTACCTGTTCGTGAAAAGTCCATGTACCCAGCTTCTGATGCACCAAACCTTTGCTCCTCTTCCAACGGCTGTCCTTTATTAGCTAAACATGCAAAAACAACCGATTAGAATATTCCAAGATGAACAAGGCAAGAAACATTTTCGAAATACAAATGTTTTTCGAGAACATGTTGAAGATTTCAATTAAGGAATATCAAATATCAAATCTCTACGATATCAACGTTTGGAGATTGTCCGAAGATCTTGTTCTTCGAAATGCCACGACGATTACCGAAGATGACGATTTTTTCGTCACGAGGATCATAAATTTATTATCATTGTGTATTATTTCATTATTCAATTTTAATTAAAATATATAGAAGGAGAACAAAAATAACACATATAACTATGCGCGCTTGAACATACACACAACACTCAACAGGCAGATTTAATTGACAAGAACACACTAGTAAACAAGAATTTGGTCCATAGGAGAATAGGAAGCTGCGCCCAGGCGAGGTAGTGGACGAGCGCAAGGTGAGAAATGTTTCTCGAAAAATGAAGGAACGAGAGAATGCCTCGTCTGCAACCTTACACAATTACCAATGCATTTCTTCTTCTACTTTTTTTTTTTACTTTCAAATTTTCACTGACACAAATTATCTCTCTTTTATACAATTTCACTGGAATGACGGGGACGAAAAGAATGACGTTTAATTTCGATTAAATTGATAATATATTTCATCGATCGATTATTATTATTATTAATATATAAGTATCAAAGGGAGTTGTAGATGGTTAATAAATCTTATGAACAATTAATTTGAACTAGTTGTACGTTTCGTCTCTTACTGGGGACTTCATCAGCAACTTGATCATTTAAAGTTCACGTGTCCATACATATAATCTTTTTTACAGAGTCATACATTTCAATAAAACTTAACATATTACAATACAATTTGATCCTAAAACACCTTATCTTATCACACGTAATCAAATATTGAGTAAATATTTTCTATACTTTCTGCAAATGGATTTTATTGATTTTTATATTAAATTAAAGAGCACTCTATTGTCTACGCGTAGAATACCATATCGAGTTAAAAATTTAGCATGTAAAGTTCAGAAAATGTCAGAGAATGCAATGCTGTAAATTGTGCATCTTTGCAATTTCTTTGAAAAGTTAAGGTAAATA